TTTTCCTCCATCACCCCCCGAGTTTCCCTCCATCACCCCCCGAGTTTTCCCTCCATCACCCCCCCGATGGTTTCCCAGCAGGGGATGATAAATCTCTTCTTCCTTCTTCTCGCAAAGATCAGAACCTCACTCGCCTCCCCCAATGCCCTGTTTCTCGAAGTTCTGCAGGGTTTTTTTGGTTTTTTGTGGGTTTTTTTTTGAGTGGTTGGACTCGATGATCTCAAAGGTCCCTTCCAACCATGAATATTCTGTGATTCTGTGAAAAAAGCAGACCCCCTCCTCGTTGGTGTGGTCTGAGAGTGGCTGCAGCTCCGCGGGGCATCGCCTGCCCGCTCCCCAATCCTCATCCATCAGACCAACACAACCAGACGAGGCTGAAATTGCTACCCCCAGTACCAAGAAGAAGGTAGAAGAACGGAGAAAAGACCTAAATTCTCTAAATGGGGTGATGAACCCACATTTCTGGACCTGCCCCCGCGTCACTGCTGGCAGCACACATCAAGCAGCCTTTTTTTGGGCTGTTATGAGCATTATTTTACTGCTCGTTCTGTGTTTGTGGGTGACCTGTTCCCAAAAATCGCTGCAGGAACTCGCCTTCCTCACACCCATCACCCACTGAGCTTGGGCGTGCTTTCCCAGGTAAATAATCTATTATTGATCTGCACAGTCATGCATATAAATTAGTATATTTAGGTATGGAGGCTTTAATTACACCTCTTAGTACTATATCGCTCTTTATTTTCTTTTTTTTAAAAGACCAGTAAGCTTTTTAAACACTAACCTCATCCTGATATAGGTCAAGATTAGCCTCCCTGCTTCTCCTTGGGAAAGTAAAATACAAAGAGATTTGGGAAATCGTGTGGAGAAGCCTAGAAAATCTGATGAGTAGTTCCTTCTTTTTTTTTTATTTCTAAACTGCAGTAGCTCCAAGTAATGTACAGGATCTGCGTATTTGAAAATGTCCTGGGTGGCTGGATTGCTCAAAAGGAGGTTTGTGATTCATGCGTCGCGCTCGCGGGGTGTGACGAGGATGACAAGATACTTGGAGTCACAAAAAGTCCTTAGAGACACAAAAAGCATCGGTGGTGAATAAAGCTGACCAGTGACACGGAGCCTTGGCCAGTGGTTGTGTTGTTTTGCTGTTATCTTTGTGTAGAAAGTCATGAGTGTGACATTTTCCTCCCGTGTACCCTGTCCCTGCACACACAGAACTTGCTCTCATCCTCCTGCAGGTACCAAACCCTGGGTTCTCAACGAGTTTCTGCAGGTTTTGAATAGGAAGCAGGAAACCAAGTCCAAGGTTTGGCCAACACAGCGTTGTTTGTCCTCTGCAGATGTTCTAAACGCAAAGCACATCGTGTTTAATTGTGTCCCACTGCCTTTTTATGGCATCATAAACACACACAGCGCTGGGCAAACAAACCAGAAGGGCAACATCCACCAGAAATCACCCCTGATAGCTCTGGAAATCTGTAACAGAAGTGCCAAGCGGAGCCAGCTCTGGTTCCTGGCTGGGGAGCAGAGGTGAAGAGTTTGTCTTGAGGTCACCAAGCCGTGGGTCAGGGGACAACATCCAGTTACTGCACCCTCCCGGGGAGTGACTTACAGAAAAAGGGAAACGGCCACGTTGCTTCTCAGTTTCTCCCTCAGCTGTGGTTGCAGACGAGCAGCCAGGCCTTTGTGGAACGATGGTCCCAGCCCCGATCACTCCTGGGCAGGGGGATCCCTGTGCATCAGCTGGGGACCAGGACCACCATCTCCATACTGGGAGCAAACCAATTTGCTGCAGCTTTTCAGGTTTGCTGCCTATTACTGGGAGTTAGGGTTTGAAGAAGCCACAACAACACTAAATAATTGACATTAATGACACTAAAGAACCAATATTGATCCCGATGCCAATATAAAATCCACCAGGATCATACCCAGCCCATCCCATCCCAGGCAGCCGTGCACTCCCCGCAGGGACAGCCCCTGTGGGACCATGTGGGTGCTGTGGCTTTGGGAGGAAGGGAAGGGCTCAGGGCTCCTGAGGGCAAGGAGTTCTCAGCCATCAGAGAAAGAGAGAGAACTCCTCAGCAAACTTTCTAATCTATATCACGTGTGACATTCGTAGTCTGAAATAATCCTGTTGGCAGCTTGGGTCAAGTGCCTGCTCCTGCTGGTGAGCTCGGAAACACCGAGACCCGTTCTGTGTTTGTGGGTGACCTGTTCCCAAAAATCGCTGCAGGAACTCGCCTTCCTCACACCCATCACCCACTGAGCTTGGGCGTGCTTTCCCAGGTAAATAATCTATTATTGATCTGCACAGTCATGCATATAAATTAGTATATTTAGGTATGGAGGCTTTAATTACACCTCTTAGTACTATATCGCTCTTTATTTTCTTTTTTTTAAAAGACCAGTAAGCTTTTTAAACACTAACCTCATCCTGATATAGGTCAAGATTAGCCTCCCTGCTTCTCCTTGGGAAAGTAAAATACAAAGAGATTTGGGAAATCGTGTGGAGAAGCCTAGAAAATCTGATGAGTAGTTCCTTCTTTTTTTTTTATTTCTAAACTGCAGTAGCTCCAAGTAATGTACAGGATCTGCGTATTTGAAAATGTCCTGGGTGGCTGGATTGCTCAAAAGGAGGTTTGTGATTCATGCGTCGCGCTCGCGGGGTGTGACGAGGATGACAAGATACTTGGAGTCACAAAAAGTCCTTAGAGACACAAAAAGCATCGGTGGTGAATAAAGCTGACCAGTGACACGGAGCCTTGGCCAGTGGTTGTGTTGTTTTGCTGTTATCTTTGTGTAGAAAGTCATGAGTGTGACATTTTCCTCCCGTGTACCCTGTCCCTGCACACACAGAACTTGCTCTCATCCTCCTGCAGGTACCAAACCCTGGGTTCTCAACGAGTTTCTGCAGGTTTTGAATAGGAAGCAGGAAACCAAGTCCAAGGTTTGGCCAACACAGCGTTGTTTGTCCTCTGCAGATGTTCTAAACGCAAAGCACATCGTGTTTAATTGTGTCCCACTGCCTTTTTATGGCATCATAAACACACACAGCGCTGGGCAAACAAACCAGAAGGGCAACATCCACCAGAAATCACCCCTGATAGCTCTGGAAATCTGTAACAGAAGTGCCAAGCGGAGCCAGCTCTGGTTCCTGGCTGGGGAGCAGAGGTGAAGAGTTTGTCTTGAGGTCACCAAGCCGTGGGTCAGGGGACAACATCCAGTTACTGCACCCTCCCGGGGAGTGACTTACAGAAAAAGGGAAACGGCCACGTTGCTTCTCAGTTTCTCCCTCAGCTGTGGTTGCAGACGAGCAGCCAGGCCTTTGTGGAACGATGGTCCCAGCCCCGATCACTCCTGGGCAGGGGGATCCCTGTGCATCAGCTGGGGACCAGGACCACCATCTCCATACTGGGAGCAAACCAATTTGCTGCAGCTTTTCAGGTTTGCTGCCTATTACTGGGAGTTAGGGTTTGAAGAAGCCACAACAACACTAAATAATTGACATTAATGACACTAAAGAACCAATATTGATCCCGATGCCAATATAAAATCCACCAGGATCATACCCAGCCCATCCCATCCCAGGCAGCCGTGCACTCCCCGCAGGGACAGCCCCTGTGGGACCATGTGGGTGCTGTGGCTTTGGGAGGAAGGGAAGGGCTCAGGGCTCCTGAGGGCAAGGAGTTCTCAGCCATCAGAGAAAGAGAGAGAACTCCTCAGCAAACTTTCTAATCTATATCACGTGTGACATTCGTAGTCTGAAATAATCCTGTTGGCAGCTTGGGTCAAGTGCCTGCTCCTGCTGGTGAGCTCGGAAACACCGAGACCCTGAAACCTGCACCCCAGAGCTGGCTATAAAGTCAATATTTTCCCAAATTCAGACACTGGAGTCTTCAAAAAGTGTGGTTTTCCCAAGCAGTAGAAGAGACCTTACTGCAAAGTAAAATGACTGAAAGAGAAATCAATCCTGTGTCGCTCGAGCCAGGACTCCAGGGCTGCGGTGAGTGCCCAGGTAAGGGAAATGATGGAGAAATTGCTTCTTCTTGGAATATGCTTTGGTCTCAGAGGACTGCTGGGGAGATGCTGAAAACACCGTTGCCTTTCACTGTGTCCTCCCAGACTTATTCCCCTGTAAATATTCTTCTCTCTGTCCTTGGAGGCTTGGGTTAGACACCTTCATTTTGAAGTCACCATCAGCTTCAGGTTGGAGTGCATTCACGCTGCCCATTGTTCAGGCAGCTGTGATTCCTCTGCAGTTCTGAGAGAGACAGGCTCCCCCACGGCAGGGTTTGGAGAAGAGTCTACGATACTAGAAGTGTAATTGGAATTTGAATACCTGCCTTTTCCCCCCGTACAGCTGCTGGGTGAGAGGGAATTCCCCAACTTCGGTATCTCAGCTCCCAGGCAGCGTGAATATCCTTCTCAGCACTTCCATATCGTGCCCTCCACGGTGGTGTTTTCCTAAGGAAGAGCACTCCGAAGACCAAAAGGAACCCATATCACAGAATATTCATGGTTGTAAGGGACCTTTGAGATCATCGAGTCCAACCACATGCCAGGAATGGATCAGCTGCGGGTGCTGCTCCACAACAACAAGACCTTTCCTTCCTTGGGAAGGGCCCCTCCAACCCCTCCGGCCTCTTTAGGTTCATTGGGTTTGGAAACAGCATTGCCTGGGGGGCTGATTGCCCCAACAGTGGTGGGAACTCACTGGAGCTTACCCAGCCTTGCAGATAAGAGGTGGGTTTCATGCGTGGAGATCTGGAACAAACAGATACCCAGCCATGCAGAAGCTGCCAGCGCTCACACACACAGAGAAATCAATCCAGGGGTTCCAGAGCATCAAAACAATCAAATAAATGCCTGGTCATTGCTCTGCCGGATGGAAAAATCAACGTGTGGATCCATCACCCTGGATTTAAAGCGGTTCTGCTGCTCTCTGAAGCTGGTGGGAAAAAGCTCATCTTTGGGCAAAGAAGAGACGTGGCAGCGAGCCAGCCCCGAGGGTGCCCCGTGCAACGATACCCGTGGGTTTTATTCCTTCCTTCCAAATAAAGCTCCGTTCCAGAAATCTCTCTCTCCCTCTCACAAACACTGACACTCTCTTCTTTTCCAGGTGGTGCAGTCGGTTCCCTCCCTGCCCCCGTGCGCGGTGTTAAATTGGGAACAATTCTCTCTGTGCCCTACCAGCAGCGTTTTGTTGGTTTTGGAGAAATTTCAAAAAAAAAAAAAAAACAAAACAACACCCTGTCAGGTGTAAGACTGCTCCGGTGACCTCGTTGTGCTCGTGCTTTACTCAGCCCTTGCTGCCAGCAACACACCAAGCCCACGGTGGCCGTGCTGGGGACACCCTGGGTGGCACAGGAGTGTTAGAAGGATGGCATCAGGATGGAGCTATCACAGCGCTAAGAAGTTGGAGACACCCGTTAGGGACTTCACACTGTGCTTGAAATGATTGATTGGGGGCTCTGGGGCCACCACCAGCAGAAGGACATGGAGCTGGTGGAGCGGGGCCAGAGGAGGCCACAGAGATGCTGGGAGGGCTGGAGCCCCTCTGCTGGGAGGGGGGGCTGAGAGAGTTGGGGGGGTTCAGCCTGAAAAAGAGAAGGCTCCAGAGAGAACTTAGAGCCCCTTCCAGTCCCTCAAGGGGCTCCAGGAGAGATGGGGAGGGACTCTGGATCAGGGAGGGGAGCCACAGGATGAGAGGGAAGGGTTTGACACTGAAAGAGGGGAGATTTAGGTGAGATATGAGGAGGAAATTCTTCGGTGAGAGCCTGGCCCAGGTTGCCCAGAGAAGCTGTGGCTGCCCCATCCCTGGAGGGGTTCAAGGCCAGGTTGGAGGGAGCTTGGAGCAACCTGGTCTGGTGGGAGGTGTCCCTGCCCAGGGCAGGGGGTGGCACTGGATGGGCTTTTAAGCTCCCTTTCAACCCAAACCGTTCTGTGATTCCATGATCTTTCCAGCTCTTACTGGAAGTGCTCACTGCAGTTTTTAACCACGTTCTGTGTCACAGAAGCTGGTTCCTCACCCTGCTTTTGTGTAACTCTTGACACAAAGCCCAGATTTCAGCACACCGTTAACCACAGCCCAACCAGGCAAATTTTTGTGCTTTTTAGCTCAACCTGAGTTGAGCTGGCTATGCCAGAGGCAGAATTGCTTTGCTTCGTAATTTCTCACCCACATTTAAGGGCAATAAAAACAAGGGTTGCCTGGCAACCCCTGGAGAGGAGTTACCTGGCAGGACAATGGAGAAAATACTCCTTTTATTTTGCATGAAGCAATACTCTCAAATAACAGCTACTTGCAGTTTTTGTATCTAGTGAGCTCCCTTCATTCAGCTCCTCCTCTTTGGCTTAGGGCTGTCTTTGTGCAGGACACGCTGCAAAGCTCCTTATTTATTGGGGTTTTTTTAAGGTCTCCGGCACTTTTTTTCACCCAAGAACATATAAGAATATTTCTAGTGTTTGTGAAACTATAAATTATTATTAGAGTGATTATTATCTGTGGGCAAAACAAGGAAAGTAAGGTTTAAGACAGACACTCCCTCTAACTAAATGGTTTTTAATCACTGATCCACAGCCTTCAGGCCAGTGAATTCAGCCTGAGCAGGCTCTAGGAAGGGAGACAGGGGAAGAGCAGCCGCCCTTCACAAACAGACCTGCACAAAGGACCCTGCTGTAATCCAAAGCCATGATCAGTAGTGGTACTTCAGATCTTAAGCAGCTTCAGGGGTGGCAATGGACTCCCAAAATTCTAAACCTCTCCTCTGTTTCCCACCCCATGGGTTTTCCAGAGGCACAAAGTGCTCAGCACCCAGCTCTGGATGGAGGCAACTTCTTTCCCTTCAACTGCCCAACAGGGAACTGGAACCTGCTTTTCTAATCAGATCTCAAGAATTCCAAGCATTGTTGTTCATTCAAACATTCTTTGATCGTGTCAATCACCCACTTCCACTCTTTGGCTCACCTGAGGAGAGGACCTTTCCTTTTGGTCACCACCTGCCTGGCACACACTGAGCTGGAAGAAGTTCTGTATTTGAGGAAGTAATTCTTTAGGCTCTCACCTGGGAAAGGAAAGCTTGGTTGGATCACCCTCTGGAGTCCATTGCTGAGGAACCATCAGCCAGAGGGTCTGAGGATTATTTCCCCTGAAGGCAGGAGGATGAGGCTGCGCTGCCAGAGCGGGGAGAAGGCTTTCTCTAAGAGAGAACCAGAGCCTGGCTGAGATCACAGTGTCTTCTGAGACAGAGGTTTCAGTAAGTGCTGTCCTATCAACGCTCCTGGCCAGGGGGACATTCTCTCTCCATGCAGAAGGAATTAGAGGTGAACACCAGAGACACATTAATCTGAGATGTTCTGATGAGCCAAAGCTAAATTGCGGTCTTCAGAAAACAGAAATCATAACTCACCTGAAGAGCTGAGACTTGTATATACAGGTACATAAAATTGTGATGGGTTTATTTATTTATTTTAGCTAAACTTAAGCTCGTCTTCGTTTGCTCAGTCTGATACACACGGGTTTCTGCATTCTGTAATCTTTGTAACCATGAGAACTAGCATTTTTTCCTGTTTTCTTAAAACGAAACCGTAGATTCTCTGACAGTTTCTCACCCAGAAGGACTGCAAGGCTGTAAACAAGTTCTGAACAGTGTACGATCTGTTATTTAGTCACAGGAGCTGTGGGGAGCTGAAGAACAGAGATTGGTCTCGGTGCTATGAACACACAAACCACCACACAGGGGTTTGAGCTGGAGGAACTGGTCGGGTCAGAGATTGTCTTGTTTTCTCACTCCAAGGAGTTAGTCTGTGCCTGGATTTAAGGTCGGGCATGATCATAGAATGGTTTGGGTTGGAAGGAACCTTAAAGATCATGGAGTTTCAACCCCCTACCATGGGCAGGGACACCTCCCACCAGACCAGGTTGCTCAAAGCCCTGTCCAGGGCTGCACCGCTCCTCCTGGTATCGAGGAAAGAGCAGTTGATCCTTTGGTCAATCATGGAGCAATGTCTGAGCAAGACTGTGCACCATTTCCCTTCACTACCCCATCAGCTGGCCCTGGGGTGAGGGATGTTCTTCCAACAGGATGATAAAAAGCAGCCCTGTGCCTTTCAGCTCTGTAGGAAACATTGGGAAAAGCAACTATCAGATGTAAAGAGACAAGAAGCAGGGTTATAAGAGGGCACTATGAAATGACTTAAAGTATTTCCTAATGTTTTCTCTGATTTCTTTTTCTCCAGGCTTTCTTACAGCACCACTCGTGGAACCCAGCTGGGAGCTGCAGGCTGTGTTTTAAGTTGGAGAAACGCACCTTCCATCCCCCAGAATTTCTGTGGATTGGTGAATGTTGTTTGGTATCAACCATCAACTAACAGAATCCCCAGGAATCCTAACTTCAAGGAAATAAGGATTTAATTCAAACCTTCATACATTGACCACTGCAAAGAGTTTTAAATTGTCTCAGAATGACTCTTCGAATGCCCAGCCGGCTATTTCCAGAGTGGAACACGACAGCTCGGTTCTTAGCCCTCAGCACGGTAAATGCTGAAGAAAATGCTAGTAAATATCCCCCTGAGTTACCAAATAGATGTGATAAGGCTTTAATCTCAGACTTCCTGAGCAGAAGTAAAACAATCCGAGGTTTGCTGGCCCATCTGGCTGCCGGCCACGGCCCCGGGCAGCGAGAAGAGGCACCTCTGTCAGAGCCAGGGGACCCGCTCCCCACCAGAGAGAGAAACAGCCCCGATTCCAACAGCTCCATTTCCAACAGCTCCATTTCCAACAGCTCCATTTCCAACAGCTCCATTTCCAACAGCTCCATCTCACACCTCCTCTCAACGGCGTCTCCCAAACCCACCTCCTCCTGCCAAGACCGAAACCATCGGCATCGGGCTCTTTTGCTGGTAAAAAAAAAGACAGATTGTTCTCTTCTAGAACAGGACGTCTTTTAATCCTGTGATATAATCCCTCTTGTTTTGGAACCAAACCACTTTTAATATAAAAATATACACACTTTCTGCCTTGTTTGGTGGTTTTTTTTCTCCCCCCCTCTCCAGATTTTAGCAGATGTACTAGGGAAGGCGATGAGTGTTTATTCAGCGCTGTACATCAGCACACCAGTTTGGGGAACACAGATGCTGGTTTTTATGCCAAGTGCTATTATATTGGTGTAGACAAGTGTAGAATAGCCTGGGTCTTACCTTTTTCCTTGTCCACGCTGCTTGCAGGGGAGGAAGGTCACGTCCATAGCCAGCAGAATCAAGATTTCCCTCCAGTAATTCCTCCTGAAGCCTCTCCAGAGCAGACCTGCCTCCCCGTGTGTCGCTCACCTCGGGGACACGACAGAGGCAATTCCAGAAGCACCCATAACAGAATGAAGTCATTAAACAGGGAAACACTAACTACCTTTAGAACTGGAATTACTAAACTGAGATTAGAGCTTGACCTACTCCAAGTCAGACCCAGGTAGGAAGAATTCCAAAGATGTAAAAAGGTGACTCTCTCTCGAACGCCGCTACTTCAGGTTGTGTTTGAATAGATCAAAGTTACTTTTTTTATCAAGCTGTGTCTGAACTACTTGAATACTTGGATGTCTATTCAATTATTCAGCATAAGTATGAAATAATTAGTTTCCATCTGTGAGCAGAGGTCAAGTTAAGGCAGATATTTGGCTGATTTGGGCATGTATTAACTCACACTGCACAGCTGTGCTGGAGCTCCGAGGAGCTCTCCTTGTCTCTGCTGCCTTTCCCCATTAGCTCTTTTCTCACCTGAGATGTAATAAGAACTATAGTAATGAACTACAAACCAATTACTGCCACTACAAGGTGACTGGGAAATAATTCCCCTGCACTGGAAACTCTCTCTCGAACGCCGCTACTTCAGGTTGTGTTTGAATAGATCAAAGTTACTTTTTTTATCAAGCTGTGTCTGAACTACTTGAATACTTGGATGTCTATTCAATTATTCAGCATAAGTATGAAATAATTAGTTTCCATCTGTGAGCAGAGGTCAAGTTAAGGCAGATATTTGGCTGATTTGGGCATGTATTAACTCACACTGCACAGCTGTGCTGGAGCTCCGAGGAGCTCTCCTTGTCTCTGCTGCCTCTCCCCATTAGCTCTTTTCTCAGCTGAGATGTAATAAGAACTATGGTAATGAACTACAAACCAATTACTGCCACTACAAGGTGACTGGGAAATAATTCCCCTGCACTGGAAAAAGGGGCACCCATGGAAACTACCCACCACAGTTACCTGTTGGAAAGTACAAACTCCTGTTACTGAAGGGAAGTTTGGGGGGGCTGCAGGGGTCAAAAGCATCACTTAATCCAAATAAAGATTAGTCAGGTTCATAAATACATCCTCTGGTAATTACAGAGACTGATCCCAGGCAAACTCCAGCTGAGGAAATCTGCAGACTAGAGGGTGACTAAAGGAAGGCTGACTGCAAGTCTTCCAGCTGCTTTGCATACATATTAAAAAAAATATAATAAAAACTGCCAAGAGATTGGCTTGGATTTAAAAGAAGTGTTAGAAGAGTCACCGAGGCAGCTACAAGACTGACCACAAAACACCTCAGGCACCTCGTTTCCCCTCGAGTGGACAGAGGGAGTTCAACAAGTGGTTCTAGGAAGCTTGAAGAGGCTCCAGTCCCAGCTCCCAGTCCCACACCAGTCTGCTCCACTGGGATGGCGACGGCACCGATACTCGGGGAGGAACGACTGGGGCTGCTCTGAAACCTATTGCAAATTCAACCACCTCTTCAATTCAGCACCACATTTCTTTCCTTACGAGTAGGCACAGTGGTGTAGCTGAGAAGAAACTACTATTGAGTAAATTTAATAGAAAATCAAATACTTTAATGAAATTAGGGAGCATGAGAGTAACAGCTCAGAGATACCACTAGAACTGATACTACTGGGCTGTGGGGGTTTTTGCTATTATTTTTTTTTTCTATTTTTTGTTTTTCCAAATGCTCTGTTCTTCAACAAGCATGCAGATTGACAAACTACTAATTCTTCCGAGTGTCAAAGATCCTGAGTAAAGAATTTCAAACCACTTAAAATGAATATATAGGAAATGTCTCATGAGCTGGTGGCCCGCACACAGCATTGCACAGATAAAAATATACTACTCTCAATACACAGAGCTAAATACTTTCACATTTATCAGAATTTTCTACACAAGTCTTTAGATAGAATTCAAGTTTTGAATTTTCTGTATATATCTTCCACCTGTATTAAACAAATGCTTATTTACATTGTGGATAAAGTGTAAAGGCTAGTAAGGCCATATTCCCATACTGTACTGTAACACTGCAAAATATATATATACACATATATAACCTAATATAGGCAACAGTTCTAAAAAAAAAAAGTCACCTTACATTTGTACAACATAATTGAATCAGTATGAAAAGACAGCTTTGTTAGCACCAAGCCACTCCCAATGGGTTTTACGACCTGTCTTGAGCCTTCTAGTTCCACAGGGAAGGACTATCCCGGAGAGGGAGCACTGGAGGTCCTGCTGGCAGAACTGGAAGTCCCAAACCCCACTGCACTGCACTACAGGACCCAAATTACTACAGAGCAGGCACAGGAGCATCCAGAGACAAGTCCTGCAGCGTTACCGGGTGACGCTCCAGCAGAACAGTCACCCAGACATTTACCACATCGAGTCTTTCGCACCATCCCGTGCCACCAGGATCTTTCCTTTGGATTCACGACAGTAAGTACAGAATTTGCCAGCAGAAGGGATGTTATAGGTGGTTTACGGGGTGGGTTAACCCTCTGTTGCAAAGAGGGAAGAGCTCCACCGCCTTAAATTCCAAAGGAAAGACCTTTTTTGCCCCAAATTCACCGCCTGTGCCTGCTGTGGCCAGGGTGGTCTCGGTCGTAGCGGTGACTCGCTCGCTCGTAGGAGCGCGACCGCTCGTGCCTGTGGTTCCTGTAGTAGTGACTCTTCTTCTTGTACTTCCCCGAATGGTCGGAGCGCTCCCGGGAGCGGCTCCTGGAGCGCGACGAGCTGCGGCTGCGCGATTTCCGCGGTTTGTGCGTGGAGTATTTGTAGTCTTTGGATTTCTTGTAACTTCTCACCTTGGAACCTTTGTAGCTCGAACTGTGGTTGAACTGTCTGGGAGGAGAGTCGCTGCGGCTCCTGGAGCGGCTGTGGGATTTGGAACCGCTGGATGTGGAGTAACTTTCACTTTTCCTATGGAGAAAAAGAACAGGAGAGAAAACATTGTTATCTTAATATTAAATGGAATTATTCTACGTTACCGTTAGCACCTAAATGTAGTCACATATCCATATGTGACTTATGCACCTTATCCATATGCACCTTAAAGCACACACTGCTGTGTTATTTCACAGCTGCTGTGGTTGAGAGACTACCAAAGCTCACCCTGTGAAATTATCTAGTCTGGGGGCTTCCCCCCAACACAGCCTCCTCCTCTTACAGCAGCACTTACCTGTGCTTGGGGGACGCGGATCTGGAGGGGGATCTTGAGTAGCTTTGATCTCGACTGCCGCTTCGACTTCTGCTTTCTCTTCCTTTCTGAACGCTGCAAGAGACAGTAAACACTAAAGTTATTTTTGCTTCATGTAGTAACGGGAAGAAAATAAGCTCCATCATTATGAAAGCCTCACCCGTTGACTGGGCTGTTTGAACTCATTCTTTTTGCTCCCTCCGTTTTCCGTTTCGCATTCTTCATCGCCTGAACAGGCAGAGGTGAAGGTTTATTTCCTTTAACCTCTTTTGGAGACTCTAGAGAAACAAAGCCTTTGTTACCTTATTTTGAAAGTAGAGATAGTGACTGAAAGGACTGAAGCCTCCCCTCACCCCGTTTCATCATCTTTGCAATAACCAGTCCTGTATAGGTGCAGGTGGATGTGCACACACATACACCCCCACAAGAAATAGATCTGAAGGACTTCACACAACTTAATCTGAAACATTTCTGTCAAAATACTGAATTAACACCAGGAAGCCAACTGCAATAATCACACATTACTTTCAACTTCTTTTTCTTGCCAATTACTGACCATCTTTTTAAAGGTAAGTTACAAAGGAAGATGGTAAAAGTTATCTTCAAAACAAGACATGCACTGGACTGGAAGCTTCAGACCAAATATGCAAGAAAATATTCCCCACCCACCACCCCAAAATCTACTGCTGTCAGGAGTTCCTAACCCTAACCCTATCTATGCTTTAGCATTTCTTTAGCATAACATGCCAACTGCAAGTATTTGTTTGACTCTATTGCCAAAACCACATAAAAGCAAGTCTTTCTACTATATAAATTTAAACTAGCCTTAATTTTAGGCTAATTTGATTTTAGCCTTTATTTGTTTCAAGAAATTACAAAGTTACAATACTATTCAAACTCTGCCATTTGAATAGCTGCTAGAAGCCAACTTAAAAACAAGAAGAGACAAACCACACTGTATTTACCCTTTTGGGATGCACATACACATTTAAGATGAGTTATTAAGAACAAGTTATCCAGCTACTTACCATTTTTGGGTGCAGGGGAAAATCCTGATGTGTTATCCAAACTTGGGGCTCCCTCAGGTACTAGACCTTTAGCTTGTGCTTTTGCCTCTTCGATAGCTAATTTCTTCTTTTCCACTTTACTTTCCAGATCAGATAAATCAACCTGTGAAGGCAGGAGCACTGATTATGACAAAGCTTAATAAGCTGGACTTTCTGCTTGCTTTCAGGGGCAGGTAGAGGGAATTCTAAAGAGACCCAGCCCCCGTGACTACTATCCCATTCCACTCAATATCCAAGCTCACAGCTAATTTCAAATGGAAGGTGGTTTTCCAACTCGTGTTTTAAGCAGCAGTCTTTGAAGAACGCTCACAATAAGAAAAAAGGAGCAAACCTTTTTCCGAGTATAGAGCTGCAAAATTTTTATGCAGATTTCTTGAATCTCTTCCTCCGTCGTTCCAAAGAGTAAAAACCAGTGTGGACGATTGGGAAGTGGAATCTGAAAAGGAGGGGAAGACAACGCTGAGTTTTCCGCTTCTACTAAAAGACCAAACAAACTTCAAATGGATGGAATTACACTCACCTCCAGCGTCCTGGCTGCGAGGTAAATACAGGCACAGGCAATGCTTTCTGGCTGGAACCTCACAAAAACGTCTGTTCTCAGGCTGTCGTTCATGTAATTCCTGAAAGACAGGATATCAGGGAAGTTGCACCACACTGCCAAACAGGATATCAGGGAAGTTGCACCACACTGCAAAGCTGTTTGGTGTTTTTTTTTGTTTTGTTTTTACTTTTATAAGGACTATTTCTTTCTGCATTCAGTTACTGCATGCAGTTCTTACTGCATTCAGACTTTACTCCTGTAAAATTTAAAAAAAAGTTGAATGATTTTACTAAAAAAAATAAAAAAAAATAAATCCCTCAAGGGGAGGGATGTGTGACAGAAATTAAGTTTGATTGACTGACTGGCTGCTGAAAATTCAGTGGTGAAAAGAGAACCAATTTTAACTTCACTTTTCCTTCTGAAGCTCTACCAACCTGCTCTCATGCAATAGACAAGTTATTTTCATCAAGACAACATACAATATAATCTGAAGTACTCAGTTATAGAGTTTTAGGTTCACATGTTTCTCTGCAATAGGGCTGAGCCCTGATGGTTTGCTGAAAGCTGCAGCTCCTGGAAGCAGATCTCCCATCAAAATGCAGTCCCACTTCAGCACGTGTCAACTTCCAGTGGAGATTT